CTCTCTCTCTCTCTCTCTCTCTCACACACACACACACACACACACACACACACACACACACACACACAATCAGTTTTATGTTGTTAGTCCTCCTTCTGCTGTATGTCCTCCCCTTGATTTTTTCTAAGTCTTTTTGTGTGCCTAATTGAGCACCCTTAAGTAGTGCCAAACAGTCGGTGGCTCCTGGTTTGGAGTGCCAACTGCACTCTTAGGGGGGCCGCTCGGTTCGGGATGTCTGTGTTGCCTGTCGGTGATGACGGATGGTCGTCGGAGTGTCCCCCTGGCTCAGCGGGTGGTGGGAACCAACAGTCTGCGGGGTTCTATCGTGATGTGAGTGGGTCATGTGCTGCTTTGCTCCGTGTTGGATGTGTGGACGTCCTCATCTGCGCTCCGCCGCTTCCCTGCTGCCTGTCCCGCTTGCTTCGCGTGTGGTTCTTTGCGGGTTGATGTGTTCGCTGTGCGGTGTGGCCGTGTTGTTGGTGTTGCCTTGCGCTTCGCTGCTCCGCTGCCGTGCTGCTCATCCATTGGTCGTGCCTTCCGTGCTTGCCGCTTGTGTTCCTTGTAGGTTGGTTGCCTTGTTGCTGGTGCCTTGTGCTCCGCTCCATGGTTGCCCAGGTGCTGGTTCACTCGCCTTGTCGTCCCCTGCGGAGTTGTTGCTGCCATGTTCCTCTTGGGGACAGTCTGCCTTCAACATGGGTCAAAGGGTTCATGACCCAAACCATCAAATACGGGGATTCCGCAGATTGTCGAGGGTTCAGCCTCCTGATGAGTCGGTGCAACTCCGACGAAACAATCTATCATCTGTTTTTTTTTTTTTTTTTTTTCGCTTTGTGTTTTTCTGTTACTTGGTCTGTTGTCTACTTTGTTGCTTTGTTGCTTTACTGTTTTTTGACTTCCTATCTGTGGTTTCACCCCAATTATGGGTGCTTTGATTTCTCCTGTGGTATGGATTGTTTTGTGAAAAAGTCTTGAAGTCATTCTTCTTAGGCAATCGTGTATGCATGCTTGGTTACGCTGCTTGCCGCGTTCGCGGGGTTCTGTTTATTTCAACACACACACACACACACACACACACACACACACACACTAACAAAAAAACAGTTTCCCCCCTTTTTTTTTTTGAGGCCCCGCGCGGCCTCAAATTTTTGTTAATATTTTTTTGTGGTTTATGACGCGACATCCCATTCGGGTCTAAAACACCCCTCCCCAACTTCTTTTTTCTTTTTTCTCGACCCCTTATTTTTGGGGTGCGCCGCATCCCGTGCGCGCGCGTCGTGCGCTGTGCGCAGTGCGGCGCGTGTACGCGGTGCAACGCACGTAGATGGGCCGCAAGTATGCTATATACAGTAAGAATAAATATCATACTTGCGGCGCACCGACCCTGTGCGCTGCGTGGTGCGCCGCGCGCTGTGCGGTGCGCGGACCCGAGGTGCGCGCGCACCCGGGTGCGCAGTGCGCTGTGCTCAGGGCCGGTGCACTGCGCGTTGGTGCGCTGGGGGGTGCGCTGGCGGGGCGCAGGTGCACCGGGTGCGCAAACCATTTTTATTTTATTTTATTTTTTACTGTTTGTTTAAGGATTTATTTTAGGGAGAGAGAGAGAGAGAGAGAGAGAGAGAGAGAGAGAGAGAGAGAGAGAGAGAGAGAGAGAGAGAGAGAGAGAGAGAGAGGTCTCCAACGTCACGGCTGCCCTCCTGGTACTTCCATCGAAACGACGAGCAAAATCGAGTGAATGTGC